CTGTCAGTCAGCACGTGGCAGTCGTCTCCCTGGCTGGAACCACGTGTTGCTAATGTGGTCCGCCGCCAAGATTTGGGCTGGATTTCCCCCCCCAGCCATTCTGCAGGGATTTCACGGCACCGGTAGCAGGCGTGACTGTGGTGTTTAATTATTGTATCTGCCTCTGTGTGGGCACGTGTATTTTGAGGCATAAAAATTGCAGACTTTTATTGCAGGAGGGGGCTGCTGAGGGGTTTGGTGGGTGCAGTGACCACAGTCCTGCAGCTGGTGGATCGGGAAGCGTTCTCTCCAGTGCAGGAGCTGATTAAGGAAAAAGTGACCCCAGAGAGACTCAGCAATGAGTTTTGGCCCAGTTGGTTTGATTGCAGGTTAATTAAAATAGTGTTGTGCTGGCAGAGTCAAGGCTTCAGGCTGGTCATGAGGGACTTCGTGACAGAACCAAAGCTGAACTTGTTCTTGAAGTAGGCCCCTGAGAGCTTGCTGCATTGGGGGAGGGAGTCCTGTCTCCCTGCTGCTTGCCTCCTCGCCCCTCGCTGGGTGCTGTTGCCGCCATTTTCTGGCTAACCTGGCCTTTCTCTTCCTGTTCCCTAGGTCGAGCTGGGAGCTGCCTGACCTGCGAGAAGGAAGAGTAAAAGCCATCAGTGATTCAGATGGTGTGAGCTACCCCTGGTACGGAAACACCACAGAAACTGTGACTCTGGTTGGGCCCACTAACAAGATCTCCAGGTTCTCGGTGAGCATGAATGACAATTTCTACCCCAGTGTGACTTGGGCTGTCCCCGTGAGCAACAGTAATGTGCCGCTGCTGACTAGGATTAAAAGGGACCAGAGCTTTACCACGTGGCTAGTGGCCATGAACACCACCACCAAGGAAAAGATCATCTTGCAGACTATAAAGTGGAGGATGCGAGTGGACATTGAGGTTGATCCCATGCAGCTGCTGGGGCAGCGGGCACGGCTGGTGGGAAGGACTCAGCAGGAGCAGCCCCGGATCCTCAGCAGGATGGAGCCCATCCCACCAAACGCACTAGTGAAACCCAATGCCAACGATGCCCAAGTCCTCATGTGGAGACCCAAGCGAGGACAGCCGATAGTCGTGATACCTCCCAAGTAGAGCAGCGCCAGGCTGCGTGCTTGAGGGCTTGGGTGCTGTTGGCATGCTGCAAACGAATGGGGTTTCTGAGCCAAAGCAGACCTCTTGGGTTCTCCTGCTTTTGTAGCTGTGGTTGGAAATGTGGCTTCTCCTTAGTGAGAAGGAGAGCCTGGCTGGCACAGGGGCATGAAAGAGGGATTGCTGAGCTGGAGGATTTTCCAGGAAATGGAATTGAGTACTTCTAGGGGTTTGAGGCTGGCAGAGAGGCTGTCTGACCTAAATAACTCATCTTCCCTTGCAGGGCAATGCAAGGAGCACGAGTGTGAGTGAACCGTGCCTGTGGCAAATGCTGCTTTCCACCCCCCTGGAGGCAGATGTGGAGACCGTGCCTGCTGGACGCAGAGGGCTCCTGCAGCCGCCCTTCCTGCTGGGGCATGGGTGTCCCCGTGGTGTCTATACCTATGCATTTAGGATCCATAATCCACCCCCTGCCCTGTCCGCTGGGACGGGGCGGGCGGGCCTGGAGGTGGAGCAGGAGCTGGCAGTGCCAGGTGCTGAGCTGGAGGCTGTGGCTGCTTGGGAGGGATTTTCTGCAGCTGAGGGGGAGCAGGACATGTTTTGCATGTGTCTGGGTGTGTTTGGAGTAGTTGTGACTGTAGGAGATGCCATACCTCTTTTCAGTCTTGGAGTGAGGTCTAAGGGCAGGTTAGATGTCCTTTCATTTTAAGGTGCACTAAATCTTTGCAGTTTCTCAACCTCCCCCCATCCAAATCTTTCCGACCCTTCTCTTACAGAAGCAGAACTGATACTCAGCCAAGTGAGGAACTGGGAGCAGTGCCCGTTCACCCTGTCCGGGTGCTCACCGTACGTGTGTAGGGGGTACCCAAACCAGCTCGGGGGTACCCAAACCAGCTCAGAGGTACCTTGGGGCTCGCACACTTTCACTGCAGACCCAAGTCCCTTGCAAGAAGTTGGGTGCTCGTTCATTTTCCACGCAAATGCTGACTCGTGTGTAGACCCACCTCCTCCTCAGCTGCTCACGGAGCAGGGTGCCTACTGGCAAGGACACTGGTGGAGGGGACATTGCTCCCCAGACTGTACAGGAATGAGTTCTTCTCTCCATGGGTCAGAGGCAGAGATGTGAGCAGAGGCTGTGCAGGGCAGGCCTGGGTTTGCCTGGGAAGGAGGTGGCCAGCGTGTGCTGCTGGTCATTTTTTTGGGGGGGGGGAGCGTGTGCTGCTGGTCACTGCCTCCTGCTGCTGCAGGTGCTGGGGGACAGCAGGGCATTTTATTTGCTTTTCTGCTCGCTGCCTGGATGGTTGGCATCGTTGTCTCTGTGGGGCATTGCGGGGCTGTGGGCCGCAGCCTGCAGTTCGGGTATCTTGCCCTCGAGGCACAGCAGAGGTGTACGCTCCGGCTGCACTGGCAGTGCCCCCGGTGCCCCCTCGCCCCTGGGCAGGTGTTGCTGCCCGGGCGGCTCGGAGCGGAGCCTCTTCTGCCACATTGGCAGCGCTGTCCTCAGCCTGGCAGCTGCCGCGGCTCGTGCTTTCCCAGGGTGGGACGGGCACCGCGGTTCTCGCCAGCAAAGGGGCTGCCCAGGCATCTCAGGCCAAAAATCCCTGTGAAATCTCAGTAGTGTTTGCTGCTGGTTCGATTCTTTGTTTTGCTTTGGGAGCGTTGCATTCTGACACCTCGACGCACACTTGTGGGTGCCAGGGCTGCTGGTCCTGCTCCTCCCGCTCGGCCTCGTGGCGGGCGGAGAACCTGCTGCTTCCAGTGCCTACGTCTGGGTTTCACCAGGGGCTACAGCCTTGTGGTGGGAAAGGTTTGGAGGGACGGGGGCTCTGAGCTTTGGTTTGCTGTGTTTTCTGGAGTGTTTTCTACTGGGAGCTTGCCGGTGTGGGAAGATGTCCCACTCCTGTGAGACTCTGCCTGTGGTTTTGTTCTAGTATGGGGACTGATGGCAGCTTTTGCCATCACCAGTGTTTTGCTTCTAAAAGTGTTTGTGGAAAGGGGTTAGAAACTTTACATAATGTTTTCTTTAATGTCTTGGGTAAGGAGGAGGGGTGAGTACCTTTCAGTTTGGAATAAGGCAGATGTATACTTTTGACCCAGTGGGACAGAAATGTCTGTGACAGCATCAGGGCTAAAAAGCCAGAGGAGGGGGCTCCCCAACAAACAGGTGGTCCCAACATGGGC